TTTCTGAAAGCAACCTTAAGCTGCATTTGCACTAACTCTTAACTAAATATTATAAACCAATTTTATTACATTACAAAGGTAGCATTCATAAAATCCTTAAAATACGGTATGAAATATTTGGTACAATGGCGACATAGAACAAGTAATAAATTATTAAAATCACCATTTTGTTTAGGCACTAAAAATTATGAACTGTGAAAAGAAGTTATTTTCGTCCGAAAATATGCGAAAACTGTATTCTTTAAACATTAAAGCACTACTTAGTATTTATAAAATCCGTCTAAACAAACAAATTGTTAACTACTTGTTTCAGTGACAGCTATATGTTATAGAGCTGGTCGGCCTTATCTGTGTCCGTCAAAACCCCATAGCTGTAAAACATGTGGTATTCCATGCTTTCTTTAGTGAAGGTTGTTAATAATAAGGAAGAACTGGTCTTCAATCAACTTTTCAGTTTAATTGGTCCTTTAATAATGATTGAGTAATTGTTTTCTTACATTTTTTCTTTTCTTCTTAAGGAATAGTGTTGGTTGTTGTTTCTTGTTTTTTGAATGCCTCCCGCTACTCATTTCTAGTCAGACTAAACCGACTTGTGTGTAAATCCGACAGCTTGTGCATTGTGTGCTGAAGCCGACTCCTCGATATTCCTATGACATACACAAACATTTTCAGCAATTCATAAAAATTATGATAAAACCACCCAGATTGCTCCCCAAGGGCCAGTCGTTTAGCCGTTGATCGGCTTAGCAGCCGCAGTAGCAGCGTTGACATTGCCGCCGACATTGTCAAGCCGAGCACTTTATTTGCTACCCGTTTGCGCTTGACATAAACATTTGCCCAGCGGACAACTGAATGGCCTCGGTCTCTCTGTGGCTCCTTATAAGCAAGCCACGACACGCAGAACAGCGCAATACAACGCTCAGCACCGCTCAGTCGTTGTCATCGCTTGCTGGCAATTTTTGAAATACGCGTTGTAGAATTTATGTTATGCGTACCGCATTCGCTGGCAGCTCCAGTGCCGCGCGGCTCGTGCGTGTTAGTCAAAAAAGTAAAAAATTTAACAAAAATGAGGAATAAAACAGGAAAACGAACGCGAAAAGTGTCCGTTGACTTTCGCTATGGTCCTCCAAGCGCTCTTTGAGGCTTTGTCCAAACTTAGATGGTCATGTCAGTGGACAACAGTGGACAGCAGCTTGTGGTTTGCCAATGCTAGCTTATAAATTACTTTAGTCTAGAGACTGCAACACATGTTAGGAGTTATTTATAAATAAATGTAAAAATAAATAAATTTTGTTTTGTTTTGAAAGGAGAAATGTCTAAAGCAATATATATTATTGAAATTTAAGAATTAGCTTTAATGTATCAGAAATGTTTTAAATATCTATTTTATAGAACTATCATGTAAGCTTTGCATCAGTGAGCCTTAAACTTATCAATGAATTTAATATCTGTCCTAAGTTCGAAAAGCTTGTAAATGTAAATAGAGGCAGCAATATTTTATTTATATTTATATGCATCTTGATATATTCTCGACCTTAGCACAATTTCGCTCAACATTTTTAATGCTAAGTAGCTTCCTGAAATAACTATTTGAAGCGCTTAGCAAAATGTTTTTAAAACCCAAAATGTTGTTATTTGTATCCATAATGGTGAAATTATATACTTCAAATTTCGTTTGACTCCAATTAAAATAATTTTTTTTATAGGAAATAAATACATTTTCTTGTTGCATTGCTCCAAAATATAAACTAAGCAGATTGGAATCTAATATTTTGTGTTTCTCGAATAAACAGATTTGAAAATGCATTGAGGGCAGTACAAGTCTTGATAAATATGTACTTAACCGGAGAGTGGGAGAATATCAAAAAAATTAAAGTAATGTTATCTAAATTTTGTTGCTGTGCATAAGCCCCTGGGCCCTTATGTTTGGTGGCCCTCAATGCATTTTCAAATCTGTTTATTCGAGAAAAATAAAATATTAGATTCCAATCTGCTTAGTTTATTTTTCGGCACAATGCAACAAGAAAATGTATTTATTTCCTATAAAAAAATTATTTTAATTGGAGTCAAACGTTAGGTGGCCCAGGGGCTTATGCAGAGCGATTTGTCTTATTGTGCTAATCAAGAACATACATATATACTTAATAGTGGGGGAGAGGGTTTTCCGCAATTTAAATACATATGCACTACACATAGATTTTGATTTTTGCATGGGAAACCCTCAATAAAACAAGTAAAAAAGCTAAAGTCGGGTGTCCCGACTTTGAAATACTCTGTACATATGTTTACAATAATTATAAAAAATAAAAAAAAAAAATAAATAAAAAAAAAATTGGATCGATTTTACCTCTCTCGGTATTCGAACTCACGTAAAGGGTGTATAATTGCACATTTACATAGCAATTGCGTCTGTGTGAGTGTATGTATGCCTATGCGCATCAATTCGTGTCTGTGTAAGCATTTTCGCAGTCAACCAAACAGCAACATCAACAACAGCCGCGGGCAGCGCTGCAGCAGCGCTGCAGCAGCAAATATATTTATGGCTATAACTTCTTGGTAAATCGGTCTATCATAGTGAAACTTGGCATACGGACACATAATTACTAACTGGGGGTATTTGCAAAATTTTAGTTCGAAATTCCAAGAATTACGGGAGTTAGAGAAAATCGCATTTGCGGGGGAGAGGGGGGAGGGAGGGAAATTCCAAAATATACATTTTCTGCGTATTCACACAAGGCATCTTGGACTAAAATTTGGTGTGCCTAGGTCTTATAGTCTCCGAGATATAGGCGATTATACGAATGGAAAATCGGGAAAACCCCCATAGGGGGGAAGTGGGGGGGAAAATCAAAAAAATAAAACAAACTCGTATAGAATATACACATAACGCATCTTCGTGCAAAATTTGGTGTCTCTATCTCTTATAGTCTCTGAGATCCAGGTGTTCATACGGACGGACAGACGGACAGACGGACAGACGGACAGACAGACAGACAGGGCTAGATCGACTCGTCTTGTCACGCTGATCAATAATATATATACTTTGTGGGGTCTGCCACGCCTCCTTCTGCCTGTTACATTTTTCAGCTCCCGCAAACCTAATATACTCTTGTACATTTCATGTACAGAGTATAAACAAGTAAAAAAGCTAAAGTCGGGTGTCCCGACTTTGAAATACTCTGTACATATGTTTACAATAATTATAAAAAATAAAAAAAAAAATAAATAAAAAAAAAATTGGATCGATTTTACCTCTCTCGGTATTCGAACTCACGTAAAGGGTGTATAATTGCACATTTACATAGCAATTGCGTCTGTGTGAGTGTATGTATGCCTATGCGCATCAATTCGTGTCTGTGTAAGCATTTTCGCAGTCAACCAAACAGCAACATCAACAACAGCCGCGGGCAGCGCTTGAGCAGCGCTGCAGCAGCAAATATATTTATGGCTATAACTTCTTGGTAAATCGGTCTATCATAGTGAAACTTGGCATACGGACACATAATTACTAACTGGGGGTATTTGCAAAATTTTAGTTCGAAATTCCAAGAATTACGGGAGTTAGAGAAAATCGCATTTGCGGGGGAGAGGGGGGAGGGAGGGAAATTCCAAAATATACATTTTCTGCGTATTCACACAAGGCATCTTGGACTAAAATTTGGTGTGCCTAGGTTTTATAGTCTCCGAGATATAGGCGATTATACGAATTGAAAATCGGGAAAACCCCCATAGGGGGGAAGTGGGGGGGAAAATCAAAAAAATAAAACAAACTCGTATAGAATATACACATAACGCATCTTCGTGCAAAATTTGGTGTCTCTATCTCTTATAGTCTCTGAGATCCAGGTGTTCATACGGACGGACAGACGGACAGACGGACAGACGGACAGACGGACAGACGGACAGACGGACAGACAGACAGACAGGGCTAGATCGACTCGTCTTGTCACGCTGATCAATAATATATATACTTTGTGGGGTCTGCCACGCCTCCTTCTGCCTGTTACATTTTTCAGCTCCCGCAAACCTAATATACTCTTGTACATTTCATGTACAGAGTATAAAAATAATATTCTGACCATTTTATACGTTATTTAACAGTATATAATGAATATTTTTGCACCAACTTAGTAAATTCTAGGCAATCAATCGAAAGTACTGCTGCAAAACGCTTTCCACCTAAAGTGGGTGAAATCAAGTTAATGAAGTTGTTAGCCCACAATTCAAAGGCACGCTCAATTAGTACACTTTTACTCCAAACGCTTTGTCTGCTGCCTTGGCTCGGCACGGCTCGGTTTCACTCGCCAATTTTCCACCTGGTAAGTGTTGCGCCCTGTCCAGACCTGGCTAAACGGCCATTTGATTGATTTGTATCAACGTTGATTAGCCTAAAACTAACAATCAGAGCCGTAAAGTAAACCAACTTGAGGTTGGCCTTGTTAGGCTGGAGGACAGACAACGGACAGCCAGCGCGATTGACAGCCAAATGATGCAAAAGTGTAAAAACAGAGCAGAAGAAAGAAACAACAAGCCAACGGACGAGTGTGTATTTTCTAGTACGTTTATTTACTTTTTATAGCATCTGAAGTTTTGTTTTTGTTACATTTTTTCCATTAGATCTAATCAATTTAGACAGTCAAACCTCTTAAATGAGCCCAGGTGCCAGCATAGTTTCGCCCAGCTGAGTTAAGAGGTTTGAATGCTTTGCACTACGACTAAGCAGCGTTGTTTAAGTCTTAAAACGATAGTGTATGCATTTTTCCGAGTAGTCTTAGTTAAGTCTTATAGAGGGGGCACCTAAGAGTTACATATATGCGCATAAATATTATGTTTAAAATTCTACTTAAATGTTTGTTTTTCTGTTGTTTTTTTCTCTCTTTTTTTTGCTTAAGTTGCGACCGTGTTGTGTGTGACTCTCGGCCATTGTTCTTTTATTTCTTCTCGACCATTGGCGTAGTAGTCCAGCTCTCTACGTAGTGAGCAACGACGTTGAAGTCCATTTTAAACACACATACCATATATAACATATATATCAGCACAACACCAACAAAAAAAAAGGAAACTAATTAAAAGGCCCTTCGTTCGTTTGCGGCATTACAACTACTAACTAGATTATGAGCGGTGCTAAGTTTTGAGCTAAAAGAATTTCACGCTAGTTTCTTATGGAATTGCACGTCGGCACGTCGTCGTCGAACTCCACTCTCAAAGTTTATCGCTTGTGTAACGCACGCTTTTGCATATTGTCCCAAACAGCAATGACCGTGAGCTGGAGAAGCAGAAATAGCGCGCCGGCAATTATGAAACCTGTGGATGAATACAGACATACACAGATGTGGATGAGATGAAGTTGTAAAAGCCACAATATTTACGAGCTTATTTAATTATAGGCAGGCACTCGGCATTCAGCTCAGCACACAGCACATAGCACACAACATCGTCTAGTTTTGCTGGCCTGCTGATGCCTGCTTAGTGGTGATAAAGCGCGACGGGCTGATGGCGCGCCATCACGCGATTAGCGCAAATCAATTTGGCACGCTTGCGATTCAACGAACCGCCGCATACTCAGCTGCTTCCCTAAGTGGCTACTGTACTACTCGCTAGCCAACTAACTTACCGTAGCCGTTGATGCAAGTGTCCGTTTTCGAGCCCATTTCAACCTGCAACTTGGCCAGGCCGTCGCTTGGCTCGCCGCTGCTCAAATCGCCGCCATTGAAGGCAAACTTATCGGTGATTTGTATCGATTGCACCAGCAAAATGTTCTCGTCCGCTGTCTGATGACTCACATCACGTTTTTGGCGTTCCGACATAATGGCAAACTCAACTGGGGTATAAAGAAAAATACAACAACAAGAAAAGGAGAAAGAAAAAAAATGAAGCAAAAGAACAGACAGGCACGACAACAAAGGCTCAAAATTAGTTACGAAACGTTTCTGCAATCAATCGTCGCTCACTCACCGCCGTCGGTACCATTGGCGACCGAACGCTTACGCCGTCCATAAGAGAGCAACGACTTCAGCTCGCCGTTGTCATCATTGTCGCAGATAACCGGTTCACAACGCGGTATGCAGGGCGTTACCAAGGCACGGAATTGCACCAGCTCCGAGGAGGGGAACTTGAAGGCGTCGAATTGTGAGAGCAGTGCCTTGCGATTGTTGGCCATCTTTTGCATGGCTCCCATAATGTACTGATCCGTGGGACAGCCGTTGGCATCGATCAGAGTGATCTCGGCACTGTCCGTACCATCCATGGCCACAAGCTCGCGCACGAAGATCTCATATGGACTGTTTGCATCTACAATTTCGAAACGCAATGCCAACGGATCTCCCACCTCGGCTATACGCTTCATATCGCCACCATCCCGTGCTGTGATCTTCATAATGACATTTGGCGAATCCACAATGATCTCCTCGCTCAGCGTAGACTCTATTTCGCCCGTTACACCCAGGTCTACATTGTTAACCACAGTCTTGTTGGTCAAATCGTACTGGCAGGATACTGCAAGGCCCAGATCGGATGAAGTGACAATCATGTCGTGATGCTGTATGACAATATCGTTCATGTAGCGTCCGTAGGCGCTCTGACGCACATTGCACTCGAGATCGTTGTAGCGCATGTGGAGATCAAACTCCAAAGAGCTGTTCACATTCACAGCACAGGATTTGGGCGCCCCCTTGGCATAGACCTTTCCGTCGAACAGCTTGGATGTACGAATTTTGGTGATCATTTCGCCGGAACGGCAATCGATGGACACATTGTAGCAGGCAGACTGTTCATAGGTGGAGGCCTCTTCGATATTCAGGTAGGGCTCGGACAGATCAGTGAGCGTAGCACGACTGTGATGGGAGAGTCGGCAAACGTGCTCGCCAGTCTCATTAAAATCATATGAGTGACAGCGGAAGGGCGCAGTAAGGCAGAGATCACGACATTCATCAATACTCTGCACGTTCTGATGCACCGAGTCCACGGTCTTGAGTATGCGTCCCGAGATACGCTTGAATTCGCACAACTTGCTGGGCTCCTCGGCACAATTGTTCTCCAGATAGTCGGCGCCATCATAGGCAGCAATGTTCGCCTCGTCGGACAGTGTGATGCGATCCATGTCGGAAAGTTCACAGAGGCCTGAGTGTGCATAGTAGTTGGCCGAGCTTTAGCAAGGCGATGATATTAGCAAAAGTAGCCAAGGTGCTGAAACGGTTATGTATAACTTACCGACAGGTAAACTCCGTTTCGCCTAAACATAGCTCAATGCAATCGCGTCGCGTGGCCACATTTTGACTGGCCTTGGCACGTTCGGTAGGCAGACGGTAGCCCTGCACGCGATCTATGCACCAGGCCTTTGAGCATGGACGCACTCCGAAACAGGATTTCTGTGCGTAGACAGTGAAAACGGGATACTGCGAGCGCGAAAGTGAACCTGCGTGAGGATGGAGGACGCAAATAGATATAGTATGTCTCCATATATCTATTTATAAACCTGTATGCATAACCAATGCTTGACATGCCCCACTCACCTGGAAGCTGATCGGCTGTGCTGCGGAACATGACACAGAGACCCGTCTCATAATTAACCGCATTGCAAGATTCATTGGCCTGGCAGGCCTCCAAGCAGTCGGTCAGCATTAGTGTACCGGGCAGCGTCTCCAGTTGCTTCGATGGCGCCGATAGTACAAAGCTAAAAATGACCAGTCGTGGCAGTTCGAGTTGGAGGATAAGAAAATAGAAGTGCACATAAATTTCTGAAGAACTGGTTTCGTGCGGCAGCAGGCACAGAAAAACGGTCTTTAGAGTGCGTTCCAAATGATAAATTTGCGCCAAGGTTTTACGATGTGCAAACAGCTCGATTGAACAATATATAAACACAAGACAGGTATTTGTTTCTCCTTCATGTCTATGCCCTCCCTCTGAACATGTCAAACCCTAATTGCGGAGAATTAAAATTTATGGTGCGCTCGATTGACACTCACCCGGTAATAAGCTCAAAGCCAATCATATCCGGCTCGCACTCGTCCTCATCCATCAGAGCGCCCAATGGTGTTGCCGCTCCATTCAGTTCATCGCCTTTGGTCTCAGCAGGTGCTGCTGGACCAGCTCCAGCTCCAGTTCCAGCTGCAGTTGCAGCCACCGATGTGCCCGGTGCAGTTTCCGCTGCATCACTCGCATGCAGCGTCAGCGGTTTCGGTAGCTCGCTTCCGCTCGCAATCGCTGTGGCTGTAGCACCACCGACACTACCCCCGCCGCTATTACCTCCATTGGCCAGCGCCGCCGGTGTTGGCGTCACGTTGTTGCGCGGAAATGTCTTCAACGGTTTTACCGGCCGTTTGGACAATTTGCGAGCCGCTACAGCATTCTGAGCGAGCACCAATGCCAGCAGCAACGCCATCATCATGCTGACTCGCGTCTTTGTCATTACAGCACCGAGTAGCTGCATTTCGTGTAGTCTGATAGTCTTCGACTGCAATGCAGAGAATTAATGTCAAAACCTGGTTGGTTTTTAATTAGCATTTCAATTCAGCGAACTCTTTCCTATGCTTATCCCATGATTAATTGTGCACTTGCCGCACTTACAGTTAAAATATTTAATAATGGGTTCTAAGTGCGCAGCGTAACGCCCACAAGCACGAACACCGCTGCCAGCCAAGTTGATTAATTGCGAAAAAATTACAAAATAGATTTGATGCGAAATCAATTTGCAGGTAGAGGAAGGCTGTTTCTCACGCATGGAAATACGAGTAGAGCCACGCACGGTAGCCAATGCATAAGACCATTGAGAAACGCATGGCAAAGAAATTGAAAACTGATTAGATCCATGATCGATAGAAAGGCAGTGGCTAGCTGCTCTTAGCCTGTATTGTTAGTTGGCTTTGCGGTTCATCCATTGTCGAGTGTAAGCCGCAGAATTAGACGATGAAAGCAGCATGGAAAAAGCATTATGTCTAATATGCATTAAATCACAGGCCTGAGACTGAGCCTGAGACTGAGCTGTGCCTGAGAGTTTTCCACATGCGCGCGGACAGATTGATTTCCGAGCTAATCGAACTGAAATGTGCAATTGAGTCAGCCAAGTGGTCAGCTGGCAGCTGTGAGGCATTTTCATATGTAATGGTCAGCAATGCTCAAGCTTATGCAATTGTTTGCTCGCAAATTGATTTTCATGCACTGCCATGGCCAATGACATGGCTGCCGCCTTTGTCCAGCTTGTGTGCAATATTTACCCAACATTTTAGCATCTTAGATGTTAGAGGCGCGCGTGGCCGTGTACCGTTGTGTCATATGTGGTGATTGCATGCCACACTGGGGCGTTAAAAGCCACAGTTACAAATGCAAACAATTCTAATTACCATGACTTGGATACATAAAACTGTTAGGCCGAGAGAAGTTCCTTTAAGTTTTTGCGCAGAGTGTGTGCTCCAATTACAATTTCAAGTTGTGGGCCCGTTGTCTTAGTGGGCCATAAACTAACTTAACCAGCCCATTGGCAGTCGCGGCCAGGCAACAAACAAAATCTGAGCCAACCACATAAATTGTGCATGTCCATAGATGCTGATGCTGCTGCTGCTGTTGTTGCTTCTTCGTTGCTATTTAAATTCGAATTCAATGTCGATTTATTTAAATAAATAGCATGTGCTGTGAGCCTAATTTATAAACCTGATGGGGGAATATTACACCAAGAAGCGCCCGCTTACAACCCGTTTGCTATTTGACTTTTCTTTGCATATTTATTGACAGTTTGTTTAGATAGCTTTACGAGCTGTTTATATTGAATTTGGTTTAATTTAATGCGTGTGGAAATTCGAAAATAATCTACGAAATTTGAAATCATAAAAACTAGGGCCCATGGCTTTTAGCTCGTCATATACTTTTATTCGAATTGGAAGCAAATAAAATGTTTACGCTCACACCGTACACATTAGCTAAGTTATGGAAATGTCTGCTTGAGCGTATGATCAATAATGCTTCAGCTGTCGGTTAATTCGTTTCGTAATGCTGGTAGAATTCAAAACGTATCTTTCAGCTATTTCTTAATTAAAATTGCAAGTAATCAAAAAATATTTCACCTTCATTGCAGCTTCTCCAAATGTGCATGCCCGCGCAGGCAACTGTTGGAACTGTGCCAGAGCTGGCTGCCAAATGACATAACTGCCGACGCGGTGGCGGCACAGCCAGCACAGCGCAGCACATGGAATTCTGTATTCAGAATTCAGCACGCTTATCTCAATTGGCGCGAGGCATTGTAACTGTAAGTAGCAGAAGCAACAAACAGCAGCAAAAGCTGGTGAGCTGGCACACTGGAAAACTAGTGGGCTGGTGGGCTGGTGAGCCGGTGCTCCGCGATGAAAGCCAGTCGGCGGCATCTGTGCAATTCTTCTTTGGCTTTACAGCGCATAATTTGTGTTTATTTCATTGGTTGGCAATTCAAGTGTGCCCGCAGGCAATTCCATAGGAGTTGGTATCAGCATCAGCATCAGACAGCTAGCAAGCTACTGACCCACTTTATACCACAGCAACCGAAGCTAAAGATATTTATGCACCTATGTAAGTATGTACACTACTATATGTCTGTCAATTTTTCAAGAAATCTAAGCAATGTGCGCTAATTTTGAAACAAAATATGCCTTCTATGCCAACTATTGGGCAAATGTCAATTCTAATCGTATCGAAATGTTGAATTTGAGATTACCAGTGAAATTTATACGCGTATGCGAGGCGCAGGCATATCAAAAGACTTAAGCGACAAACTTTCTGGCGCAACTCTTCATTTCAACCGCTACTCGGGCGGACGTTGGCTGCTGTTCAACTAACGGCAAATGAACCGCATCATTTGAAAGCTATTTCAAATTTAATCTATCGACCCAAAACGAAAACATGATTTTTTACCAGCCACTTTAAAATGCTACCGCCGCAGTCGCCGCCGACGGTTGATCTGACGATCTGTAAAATCTAACTGTGAACCATGCATTCAGATAATGAAAATCTACATATATCACTGCACAAAGCAGTCCGACTTATGGGGCATATTAATGAGCTCTGGCCAAAGGGAAACTTTAGAAATTGTCTGGCAACCTAGCATTTGCCCGATGTTGTAATACCCAAAAAATATACGAGCTTAGCCGCTCAATTGTGTTCAATCTATAGAACAATTTCAATAGCAACTCGCTCACTCACTCACCTTGGGGAAGCACGTAGCAGAGTAATTTGTTAGTAAGTCAGTCGGCTGCAAAGAAAGGAAAGTGAAAAATGTTAAAAGTATGCAAATACGCAACTGCCCTATTCATGCAGACCTAAGAAAAAATGTTAACATTTAGCTAAACGTTCAATGACGATCACAAGCAATAGAAACAAATCACTATTGTTTTGCATCGTTAATACCCAGGAGATGATTTTGGAGATAAGTTCAAAGTGCAGCGAAAGTTTTTGTGAGCTGCTCCTCCTGGTGCTGTTACTTTAAAATTTGTCATTACAAAATATTCTTGGTAACCCACTCGGCAATCAAAGAAAGCTCAGTAAGCGGCCAATCCAGTTAGTTGAAGTTTGTGTAACCCCGATTAATGCTGATTATCTTTGCCTACTCGTTGTCTTAATTTGCTTCAAAGCCGCTGGATGACCGCAGAAGCTGACCCGAATCACCATTTGGACGTCAGCTCGTTGCAGAGAATGAGAAATTAATTTATGTCGTGGTTGTGACTACGACTATGACTGTGGAAATATTTTGTCATGCTATGCCGCATGTGTTGTTGTTAATTGCCACAAAATTCTGCGCATTGGGAAAACACAACTTGTCTCTATGTCTTTTTCTCTCTTTCTGGATTGACAAAGTTTTCCGACGTTAAGAAATTCGCTGGGACAACGATGCTGTCTACAACGACGACGAAATGCCAACGGTTCTTGCAGCTTGTTTCGAATTGGAACAAGTCGTTGGCTTGACTTGAAGCTACTGCCGCTGCACATTTATTCTTCAATAACTACCATACGATGGTCACCCAAAGATTCGCAGAACGCAACTTTCTCCATCTTCAATTGACCATTTTCGTTTAATTGACCACTTGCTGTCTGCATGTAGACATCCTGCTCGTTCAAGAATTGATATCTGCCACTTTGATGACTTGGATGTGAGCACTGAACGTTCTTCGAAATTCTTAAGTTCTTTTTTTTTCGTTAAATTTAACATCACGTTTCTTGCTCAATTTCGTTCGTGGTTGTTACTTTTTTTTACCTTAACTTCCAATTAAAGGATGTATCCTTTATTCTTCAATTGCACAAGATGTTTTTAAAAAATTGCTTGCTGCTTTTTGAAATACACGTACTTTTTTTTAAAACCGCACAGGATATGCACAAAATTGTTTCGAATATTGTTGATTTTGTTAAACCGAAATTAATTTAAGGTCGTCGTGTGAAAATGTGAACTGACCAACAGACCGCGCGTCTGAACTGTTGAAAGTGGAGCGCCTTACTGCCGCACATATGTTTCAGTTATAGGTTCTTATGAACTTCTTTCACGCGGCCTCAACCTCTACGCGACTGCGACGCAAGTTTTCATAGATTCTACTTGAAAATTGAATTTTTTCAAAGTTCGTTGCTTCTATGACTGTTTGAGCGTGCTCTGTGGCCGTAGCTGCGACTGCGACTGCCAGTTCGAGCACCTTGACACTGAATGCTTGTAGCGAAGGCCGCGGAAAACTTTACAAGCTAACAGCGAACGTCATCGCTGCCGCAACTAACCATTGCGCCCAACTAACCATGGAGGCCTCTCTTCGGAGTCGTCAGCAAAAACCGGTAAAAGAAGTCCAACTAATAGCCAGACAAAAGCTAACGCTCTCGCTCTTAGAACGCTTGCTCTTCTCATCACTATTAGTTGCTCTTCTGCGACTTTCTTTCTCGTCTGAAGCTTTTCTCTGTACTCGTATCACCCATGGAAGTTGTGCGGTTGGCGGTTGGCGGTTTTGCGACCCCTAGATTGTAACGGCTGTCGGCGCACGCTGGCCTGCTACGAGTGTCTCGATCTACGAGTAAGACTGTCTGTCGGAAGTAATAAAATGCAATTATAACAGTGGAGGCAAATGATTTTCTAACGCGATTGCATTGTGTTGCACGCAAGTCCAACTTTTGTTCTAGCCATTGCATAGGAATTGCATGTCAATGAGCACATTGCTACATAATCTTCATAATCGCTAATTCGAGTCCAAGCAGACGAACAGCAGGCAGGTGCACTGATCTATTCGTCTAAGAGAGAGCTTGTCAGAGCACTGCACAAGTGGAAGACGAAGTGCTCTTCCACAAACTAAAAGAAGAACCAGAACCTTGCAGCTTTCTAATTACCAAAGTTGGTGAATCGACGTTACAAGTCGATAGTTGAGCGACTAGCGGCAAGTGCAGGGCATTATAGTACTTCAACGCACGCCTAATTAAATG